GGGAAGGGAAGGGAAGGGAAGGGAAGGGAAGGGAAGGGAAGGGAAGGGAAGGGAAGGGAAGGGAAGGGAAGGGAAGGGAAGGGAAGGGAAGGGAAGGGAAGGAACAGAGGGTAAGTATATCAGAGCAGGTGCTTCCGTATTTTCAACGACCTTGTATGGAAAATGGAAAAGGGTTTCTACATCGCACCATCTTGTTTAAAGGTAGCTAGCTGCTCTGAGTTTGGGAAACTCTCTTCTTCTTTCCTCTCCTCTGCTTCACCCCCTCCCTCCCTTCTCTTCCCTGGTCCTCCTCCATAACGTCCTCATTTCTCTTCTATCCTGCCCTCCTTCCTTTACTGACTCCTCAGTCTCTGGGTGTCACGCAGAGGACACTGCCAACTCTCATGAGTCGATTGATAATGACGGATAGTTGTCCACTAGGAACCAAAACAATAATTAAGTCATATCTCTACCTATTTATAGCATCTTCACTTATTTAATAAATTAATCATAATGCATAGGTTAATATGTAACCATTTCACAAGTCCAAATAATATTTCTGTCCAGGCAAAATATTGACTGTGATCCGAATTGAATTCTAAAGCATTATATAGAAATTTTGAATTCTACTCAATATATGGAAATCCTTCAGGCTTCTCTGCATTTCTTTACAGTTGTTTTGCTACTGGTCTGAGGAAATGCCTGTCACAGACAGACAGCGAGTAGGACTGGTGTACACAGCTTCAGACTTAAGCTCAAGTGAGTTAAAAATAGTTTCCAAATTTTACTATGTCATCACGGAAGTAAACCCAACCACCAACATGGACTAATGAAAGAATGTTATTCCATAACTTTAATCTACCAACATTCATAGTTCATTTCTGGTGCTCTATCAGCACTCATAAAAAATATAATGTCATTATCTATACATCATCTTCATAAAACATAAAATACAATAAACACACACTTTTAGCGTCTCCTATTTCAAACTTTGCATGTCCTTGAAAACGTTAATATTCCAAGTGCGTTCATTTCAAACTCTTCCTGTTATGAGTCATCTTAGAAAGTAATTAAAACCATCAAGACAGTTGAAACATGCATCTCATTCATCCTCTTCAGATGTGGTGCACTACAAGTCACAGAAAGGGGGAAGAACGTTGTAATTTATGCACTCAGAGACGTTGTTAAAAATAGGCTGGCGATGGTACTGAAGTGTTTGACAATTTGACAAGCATGTTCGAGACTCATTTTGAAAATTCTTGGGTTCAGTGCTACTAGTATGGGAGGGTTGACTAACTTTTCATACTTTGACACAGGCTCCTATTTGGTAATGTAGAATTATCCTGGGAAGACACCAAAATTGCATTGGTATTAACACATTTATTAATATTTTTCCTCCCCATCAATCTCCATCAGTAAGTGAAGGAGATGCCAGAAAGTGACAGAAAATTATCCACTTCTATAAGATGATGTAAAACCTGTACAGACACGAAGTCATGTGGAAAATGATGATCTCTCAAATGGTCACACTGACCCCAGTTTATAGTTATGCACTATAACAAGAACTTGAATAGGTAATCAATTACAATTTTATTGTTTTTACCTAAGTTATAAAGCTAAGATTTAGAGAAGTACAGACTAACATGAAGGCAGGGCTCGGTGCTGCCTTGCTGAGGTTTCCTCATGCCTTTATCGTAAATAATTCTAGAAAGCTTCCATTCTGGCCAGTTCTGTGCAGGGGAACTACAGCTAAAAAGCATTCTGTCTACAGAGCTGAAATGGACTTTCTCAGAAATGTCACTTGTTACTAATTCTCTCTGAATCCGTGAGGGATGAGTGTGCCTTTATCTGGACAGTTTCAAGCATTTCTCCCTCATTATCAAAGTTATTTTAACTGTCCCTCCAGCAGAAAATATGTAGGAGTCATCCCCAGAATAATATGCAACTGGTACAGCTGGAGGCTAATTTAGGGATTCTTGCAAACATTTAAGAGTAGGAAAAATCACCTTCCTTATAGTTAAGAAATATGTTGCTGAAAAGTAGTATTTTCTAATATTTGTGTACTTATGCTACGGTTTCTCATTTACTCATATAGGAACCCTAAGAGATATATTAGAATTAGACCTACTCTAGAAATGAGGAATGTGCCATCTAGCTTGCAGGTAACAGAAGCAGGGCTATGAGCCAATGTGTATGTGTGTGATTGTTGAGTCTCAGTATTGACCCTTCATAAATGGAAAGAGCCGTGTAGATGGCTAGCAAGGAAAAAAGCACAGGACAAAGCTATCGTGTTCAAGCAAAGAGAATAAATGCACTGTGCTGGAGATTTACATTCTGGTCAGCATACAAGTGTATGTTCTTGCACTTTGAAACTGTTTCTTCCTTCAAAAGACTAGGGTTGTATGGCATTCTAAGAAACAATCCTATCTTCTACAAGTTTTCTGCCCATAGAAATGAAACAAAATACACTGGTCATTGGAAACACCCTTTTATTGTTCTTGAAAAAAAATGTCCAGAAATGGTGGATTAAGTTTGTAAGCCCAGAGGCAATTAGGATTTGCTAAGCACTGGGCCTTGGAAAAGGGTTCTCTGTTTAGAACAGAACTGGCCATGTTCAAGGTCATAGGGCTCCAAGGTGAATCCACTTGTCCTGTTGAAACTAGACACTGTCCAACAATGCCAAGTGTAATGCATGACTAACTTTGCCCTTAGTTTTCTTTCTCAGTTTAATGAGAGCTATGTTTTAAATACAACTGAAGAATGAGGAATGAATGAGGAACATTCTAGAGCTACACATACTAAAAAAGCTGAGTTTTGTTTATGCATAGAGATACAATTTGGAAGATCTGGAGTTACAGCTGTAGATTTGTTCAGATACAAAAGTCTTAACTAGGAATCGATGACAAAGGTCCCAAGGGTGCTTCCCAAGAAGAAACAACTGTAGGTTTTAGGTTCCATTGTAAACAGAAGTGGCGGGGGGGGGGGGGGGGGGGGGGGGGGGGCAGGGGACAGACAGACAGAACAAAAATACTGAGATAAACTTGGGGAAGATATATATGGGAAAAAGAGCGAAGCAACAAGATGGCTCAGCCAGTAAAGGCAGGGATCTGACATGGTGGAAGGAGAGAAGGAACTCTGACAAGCTACCCTCTCACCTATACACCAAGTGCACACCCCCCCCCTTCTCTCCAAAACGTAAAAATAAATTAAAGAGAAAAAGAATAAAAGATGGGCTGATTTGTGCCTTAGAAAAAAATA